GCCTGTAGTACCCCAAGGTCGGGCCTTTAGGCCCTGATGTGTCCCTCTAGCCCTAAGTCGGGTCCGGTAGGACCCGTGTGGCGTCGAAGATGTAATAGTTGAACTTAGAACAAAGTAAGAACTGTGAACTACAACTTCTAGAAGTTGTAGTTCATCGTCTCATCATCAGTTGTAGTTCATCTTCTCATCATCAGTTAAGTAACTCAAGTTAAGTCTTTAAGTTGGCATTTTGTCCATTCCTCCCGTGTTGCAGTGTGCGTGTGTGGTTTTCTGTCATTTGCCCAATTGCAGTGTTCTGTTTTGCTGGCTATGCATTGTTTCTGTGTCTGCATCAGGTAAGAAGTAATAACAAGTTAACAGGTGAGTACCCTGCCACACTGCCTGCCCCGCCAATGCAATTGCCACAGTCACGACACCATCACTTGTTTCGTAAGACGAGTTTTGTGCGTACCCCGCTAAATTTGCGAATAGTTCACAACTTCGGACCCCTCAGAGGTGTGCACTCCCCACCAACAATGCCCCCCACCCAGCGGAACCTCAAAAAAAAGAAAAAGAAAAAAAAAAAGGTCCCTACCAACCTGGACGGCGCGGGGAAGGCACCGCTCCAGTCCCGGACCAAACCGCACCGGACAGAAGAGTACCGGACCGTACCCCGTCCGGCCCCGTCCGGTCCGGTTCTGTCCGGTCCGGGGGGAAGGTACCGCACGCGACAAACCGGACCGGACCGGACGCTCATCCGGTCCGTCCGCTTGGAAGTATGCTTTTATCTCTTCGTTGGTTCTGATCAGTAGTTTCTCGAGAATGAGAATGAGATAGCTTTGATTGTCTGCGTGCTGACATACACGTTGGTGGAGATCTTTGAGCTGTTGCACTTTGTTTTTTCCCTCCTGGGTAATTTCTCTGTAAGCTCTGCGCCTCAAGAACAGAAAGGAGAAAAGTCGTTGCTTATGTATCTGACCGGCTACACATCTGTGTTGCCGACCGGGCGGCCCAGGTCACCTTGGTTGCCCGGGTGGCGCGACTGGGCAAGTGCCAGGGAAGGCGCCTGTTAGAACCCACCCCCTCCCCCCCCGCCCAAGAAATCCAAAAAATAGCAAGTTGTGTGGAAGAATAAATTGAACAACTATTTTTTTTCTTTTTTTGTTTTTTGGGAAAACTGAACAACTTTTGCTTCAGGGTGGGATCAAAATTCTTTGCAATATTCTCTCCTCGCACGGTTGATTTCACCACAATGTACACCAACCTTCCTCATGACCGCATTTTGAATAATGTGGCAAAGGCTGTTGATGAAGCTCATGCATCGTTTCACCACAATGTACACCAACCTTCAGCATACCCGCATGCATTCGCGCTGCAGAGCCTTGAACATGTTCATTCGCGGGCCTTGCTCTGGCCAATGGACAACCGATTCAGGACCAGACAGCCTTTCCGTTTCTCAGATTCTCCAACATCTTCGCTTTGTTGTAGAAAACACTTTTCTGTACACTAGAGATGGCACTCTTCGAAAGCAAATCGTTGGTATTCCAATGGGAACAAATGCTGGCCCAGAAATTTCCAAT